TTCTCCTGAGACTGTAGCTGTGCAGTTGGGTGAGTGGTCATGTCTGACACTGAGGAACAGCTCTCCAGGAGAAACAGGATTGAAGAGAAAGATCCTGGACTTGTGGGAGGTGCAGGCGAGATATCAACATGTGTGGAACTCAGAGGAGGTCTAGACGGGAGAGTTATTTTTGGTGTTGATGGCAGTGAAAGCCATGAGGATAGGTGAATTTATACAGAGAAAAAGACTGGCACCCTAAATCAGTAGTTCAAGGTCAGGCAGAAGAGATCAGTAAAGGAGAAACGGAAAATAACAAAGTGGAGAAAAAGATGGAAGGATTTCATAGAAGCCTATTGAGGATAGTATTTGAAGGAGGGACGTGGTCATGGTGCCAATTATTTCTGAAAGTCCATGTGTCATAAAGACAGGGACTGTTAATTGCATTAAGCTGTCTGGAGACACTCATCCAATCATCTGTCCGTTAGTTCACGTATTCAACAAGCACTGTTTGGACAGTTCCTGTGTACCAAATTTCATGGTAGACGCTAGGGGTAAAGAGAGGCAGACCCAGGAGACCATAGTCTAATGAGTCAGATGTTGCCAGGACAGAAGATAGAAAGATGGTAAAGACAATGAAGTAGGCAGGCACCATGGAGGGAGAAATGGAAATCACAGAGGGGAAGTAACGTCAATCCATTTGACAGTGTTGTTTGCACTTGAAACTGGCCAAATCATGCACTTATTGTGCGGAAACCATCACGACTCATTCCAGGGAGGGTCCTCCTGGGAGTATGAAGAAGCAAATAGTTTCCTTCTCAAAGGTGTCACAATCTCACTGGGAGAAGGCATCGATGCAATTTAAGTAATACAAGCTGACTATGTCGGATATGTCGCAAGGCAGTATTTGATTAATCGTTAGGTAATAAGCACTACTTAATGAGTTTCTATATGCCAGGAGCTTTATGTACGTATTCTTTAATTTCAACCAGCAAACTGAAGGTATTCTCTACAGATAAGAAAAGTGGGATATAAAGGGATTACTTTACTAGTATCATGAAGTGAGTAGGAAATCGAGCTGGAGCTCAAACCTGGACCTCTTTGATGCCAAGCACATGCCTTTTCAACCCTGCCACACTCCATTTCAATGGTGTAGTGCTTTGGAAAGCAAATACAGGGTTTTGATAGAATTTCCTATTTTCTCTTGATCTGAAATGCTTCAGAAATCCTATCTTTTATATCAAATATATCTGATAGCAGGGATTCTCAAATTGTAACAGGACCCTTGGGGTCTCTTGCACCCTTTCAGTGGGGTCTCAAGGTCAAATCTCTACATAATAACAGTCAGATACCATCCGCTTTTTTCGCTGTACTGACATTTGCCCTACTCGTACAAAAGCAAGGGGAGGTGAAACTGCTAGAAACTTACTACAAATCAGGCGGTGGGTGGCCACAAACTCTCAGAGTGGTCATTGTATTTCTCACTGACACACACTGGCACAAGGAAGAAACCCCCTCAGTTTCACGTAGGAATGTCCTTGATGAAACAGTAAAGCTCACTAATGTAGTGAGACACTGACATAGGAGTACTTGCATTCTGGGTGGTGAAATAGAAAGTACCCATTAAACACTTCTGCACGGTAGTGTTCCATAGTAGTTTTGAGGAAAACACCGTGCGATCCTTTGAGCTGAGAGATGAACTAGCCATTTTCTTCACGGAGCACCATTTTTACCTGAAGGACTGAGAAGCAAATGTAGCTTTCAGACCCGGACATTTCGGAGACATTTTGCTTGAAAAGGGGCAAAGTGAGCCTGAAACTTACAAGCAAAACTGTCAGCATTTCTTGCCAGTGACAAAATTTGAGCTTTCAAGCAAAAACTAGAATTTCAGAAGACTTGTATCTACCTCCATGAGCTGGGTAGCTTACCAACACTAAAAGAGTTTTCTGATGATAGATGTTGGTAGTGATATTAACAAATGTGATTGGGGGGGGGATATTGTATGATTATATACTTCAACATTTAGAAGATGTGCATAACTTAGGGGCGCCTGGGTGGCGCAGTCGGTTAAGCGTCCGACTTCAGCCAGGTCACGATCTCGCAGTCCGTGAGTTTGAGCCCCGCGTCAGGCTCTGGGCTGATGGCTCAGAGCCTGGAGCCTGTTTCTGATTCTGTGTCTCCCTCTCTCTCTGCCCCTCCCCCGTTCATGCTCTGTCTCTCTCTGTCCCAAAAATAAATAAAAAACGTTGAAAAAAAAATTAAAAAAAAAAAAAGAAGAAGATGTGCATAACTCGGTAAACTAATATTTTTCAGATGTCTGGTGCGTGGTTTATAAACCATACATGAATAAGATATCCTTTGAACATGCGATATAGACCAGTGGATTTTAACGTAATGTACGCAGAGTTAATTGATGTGGTTTCAGATTCTGTATTGCAACCATTCTTTATGAATTAACACTTGTTAAGTTTTAATGTAATATTAAAGAAGATTATCCATGATTACTAGAAAATGCAGTTAAAATATTTGTCCCTTTTCCAACTGCGTATCTGGATATGACCAGATTTTTTCCCATATACTTCATCTGAAATACCATGTAGCAACAACTTGAACGCAGAAGCAGAGATGAGACTCCAGCTGTTTTTATTTATTTATTTTTGTATTAAAATTTTTTTTTAATGTTTATTCATTTTTGAGAGACAGAGACAGAGCACAAGCAGGGGAGGGACAAAGAGAGAGAGGGAGACACAGAATCCGAAGCAGGCTCCAGGCTCTGAGCTGTCAGCACAGATCCCGCCGTGGGGCTCGAATTCACAAACCGTGACATCATGACCTGAACCGAAGTTGGATGCTTAACCGACTGAGCCACCCAGGCGCCCTGAGACTCCAGCTGTGTTTAGTTAAGCCAGATATTAAAGAGATTTGAAAAGCGTAAAGCGATGTTACTTTTCTTGGTTATTTCTATAAAATATGTATTTACATTAACATGATATGACTTTATTATTGCTATTTTAAAACAGTTTAATACAGAATTTAAATTTTCTCAATTTTAATGCAGAAAATATTACAGAAATAAAATTTCTTTGGCCTCCTCAATAATTTGGAGAATGTAAAGTGGTCCTAAGGCCAAAACTTGTGAGATCCACTGGCCCACATTTATAGAGGTAGTACAATAAAGTGGTTAAGAGGCTGTTTTCAGGTCCCCCCCCCTCCAGTAACTTATCTTTTTGTTGTTCAGATGGAATATAGTCTATTGATCTGTCTTCAAGTTCACTGATTCTATCCTTTGTCCTCTCCACTCTCCTATTGAACTTATTCAATGAGTTTTTCACTTTGTCCTTTGAATTTCCAGTTACATAATACCCATTTAGTGTGTTTTAAAAACTTCTATTTTTCTGAGATTTTTAAAATTTCGTTCATTTGTTTCAAGTGAATTTGCAAATGGTTGCTACAGCATTTTTGACCTCTCCTTTAAAATCCTTGTCAGATATTTCCAGCCTCTGATTCACCTCCATGTCTGTGTTCATTGATTATCTTTCTCTGGTTCTTGGTGTGAGAGGTGATTTCCTATGGTATCCTGGCTATTGGGGTTTGTCGATGGTCTTTTCCTATTTATTGTATCCTGGACATTTTGGTTCTTATGTTAGCAGACTCTTGATCCTATCTGAATCTACTTTGGCAGACAGTTACCACGTTTAGATTTAGCTTAGAAGTTCTGGTCTACTTTCTGGGCTTTAGTTCCAATGGCAGCTTAGTGTTTTGAGCCCTTGCAATGCTCTTCCAGTCTGCTTTGTTTTTCTGATGCTGCTAAGGCCCTACTCAGTTCCAGCTGGTGCCACCTGCAGGGTAGGAGGTACTTCCCAGGATGGCTGGTCTCACTGAGTGACCTTCTGGGGGTGGGGAACAGGACTCTACCTGGTTACACTGCTGGTTGAAATGCAGGAAGACACTTGCTTTGTCGCCTGGTTGTGGAGTGGGGTCTGGGATATCCCAGGACTTCACTGCCGCTCCCTTTGCAGGTGGATGAGACTGCCCACCAATGGCTTGGTTGTGGAGTGGGGTCTGAGCAGTCCGGGGACTTCTCTGTCTCTGCTGCAGAGAGATAAGATAGTGCCCCGGGGCCCCAGCTGAGAAGCTGAGGTCGAGGACACCTGGGGCTTTGTCGCTGGGCTGCTGCAGGCAGATCAGAGCACTGCTGGGGCCCAGCTTTGCAGGAGAACTGGGGCAGCCCCGGGCTTCCACGGAGGGAATCAGACTGCCTAAGGGGCCCCAGCTGTGGAGCAGGGCTTAGGGCTCCTCATGAGTTTGTTTGTTTGACTTCCTTCTCCTGGTCCTCTGGCCACAGAGAACAAGCTTTGCTGCGGCTCGGTTTTTGTTGGCTGTGCTCTTTGGTGGTTCTGGGCAGCAGGTCAAGCTCCTCTCCTGTTGAGGGACACGTGGGAGACAAAAAGAAAACCCAGGGGACTCACCATGCTGTGATTCCTCAAGTCCTGAGGCCTCTGGCCGGTCCACCTTCTACCCAGTTTGTGATTATTTTAGCATCGCCTGTTGAAGACTTTCAAGGGTATGTAGCTGTATTTAGAGGAAGGACTAGGGAAAAGCGAGTTCACACAACCGTGTTTTAAAATCAGACATCACTGCATTATGTTTTATGCTGAGAAATTTTCATTTTTTAATTATTTACTTTTGAGAGAGAGAGAGAGAGAGAGAGAGAGAGAGACAGAGCCTGAGTGGGGGAGGGGCAGAGAGAGAGGGAGACACCGAATCCGAAGGAGGTTCCAGGCTCCGAGCTGTGAGCACAGAGCCCGACACGGGGCTCGAACCCACGAACCGGGAGATCATGACCTGAGCCGAAATCAAGAGTCGGACACTGAACCGACTGAGCCACCCAGGCGCCCCGGATGCTGAGAAATTTTACAAACTAAAAAAATAGAGGTGAAAAAAAGGTTACGGCAAAGTAGACTAACTTCTGACGTTGGCATGTCATCCCCAGTGTCTTACACCACGTTTGTTTATTTTTACAGGAATTATGTTGGAATATGAAACGAATGGAGAACTGAAGACCAAATGCATCGATTTGCTCAACCTCAGTCCCAGGTAAACCCGCCATGTGGTGCAGCCTGGGTTTCCGAGCCAGATTTGTTGTTGACAAACGCTGGCGCAGGGCAGGGTATGGAAGGGCTGCGTGGACTCACCGTGCAGTGCTCAACACATGTTCTGCGGTGTATTGTTTCCTGCTTGCTTCAGTGAGACCTGCTGGAGGGCCTTGCTGGGTGAGGACGAGGTGGGAAAAGGGTCGTCCGTCTGCCCTTTTGTTTTTCTTCCTAAATACACCTGTTGTTGTTTTTAATCTTTTGGGTTAGAGCAGTTTTAGAAAGCTGTGAAGGCAGGAGCTCCCCCACGCCCCATGCCCCGCATCCCAGACTCAACTTCGTAGATTTGTGTGGTGCGTTGGTCAGAGTTAATGAACCCGTATTCACACATTATTACTAACGAAAGACCATATCTTATTCAATTTTACTTGTGTTTTGTTGTTGTTGTTGTAGTTGTTGTGGTGGTTTTGTTTTTTGCGTCATTAGCTTTTTCTCGTCCGAGATCCCACATTACATTTCACTGTCAAGTCTCCTCAGGCTTGTGGTGGTGGTGACAGACTCTCAGACTTCGCTTCTTCTTGATGACCATTTAACATTTTTGAGGAATGCTGGTGATTGGAATTTTAAGAATAGTACTGAGCCTGTTATTTCCCTGGTAGACAAACATCTCACGGGGCTGACTGTATTCCGCTCCCCCCATTAACTGTCACGGGGCAGAAGTGGGAGGACCCCATCTTTGTCTCCAAAGCTTGTTGTGCGCCCAGAGGAAATCCTCTTGTGAGGGCATAGTGCCCAGAATTCATTCCCTTTAGGAAATCCTGTGCAAAACTAAGAAAAAAAAAGTCATCCTCTGCAAAACTCCACTTCAAGAGACAGGATCAGATCAGTGATTATCCTGTGGGAGCCCAGGCTCAGATAAGGTGAAGATATTTTGAGTGGAAGAAAATTGTAAAGCGAAACAAAAATGCCACGGTATGTGTTTCAGAGTTGTGGGCCAGCGAAATAAGCGACTTTCCACTGTGACTGACCTGCTTGGCCATGATTAGTGGGGCGGGGACAGACACGGGCAGCGAAGAGGACCTCTCACAGAACCACAGTTAGATAGTAGATGAGCTGCTCTCCAGTTTGAAACCTCTCTCATGGCCACGGCCACTTGAGCGGTCTGGAGTCTGTGGTGAGGACCGGTCGTGGCTCGGATGGTGACGGCCCAGGTAGAGTTCATTGCCACTGCCGGGTGACCCCACAGAGAAGGCGGTCAACTGTTTGCTTTTTAATCAAAGAAGAAATGGTGGCAAAGATAAGGCATCGAATGTCATCCACAACAATCATTGCTCTATCCATTTTTCGGGGGAGACAAAGTCTCAGATCAAGTCACGATTTTCGGTTCTTTTTGTAACTGGCACATATCACTGGTAAGTGTGATTCCGCCAGCATGCTGAAAGTTCCTTTGTTAGACATTCATTTATTTAGTCTGTAACGATGTTTTGTGCACCACCTCCATGCAAAGTTCTAGGTTAGGTTCCGTAAGAGGTTCTAAAGATATTAATCTTAATCCCTACCTCAACGAATTTATTGTCTAGCTTACTAGAGAAACGACTTGTATAAAACATGAGTGGCACAGATAAATGTCTCTATGAGAAAATATCTTGCAGGTAGAGATTCAGAAAAATACAGATTTTGTATTTAAAAAACTGTAGATCCTTGGGGCGCCTGGGTGGCTCAGTTGGTTAAGCGTCCAACTCTTGATTTCGACTCAGGCCATGATCTTAGGGTTGGTGAGACCGAGCCCCGTATCAGGCTCTGCACTGACAGTGGGGAGCCTGCTTGCGATTCTCTCTCTTCTTCTCTCTCTGCCCCGCCTCCATTCTCAAAATAAATAAAATCAACATTAAAAAGAAGTGTAGATCCTGGGGATGCTGTAGTCATCCTATGTAGTGAATAAATGTCTCAAAGTAAAAAAGAGAAAGGATGGATCTTATTTCTAGTTCTGCTCAAGAAGCTGAGTGAATTCTGCATATAAAAACATTTGCATGACATGGGGCACACTCGAGTTACTGTATTAGAATTAGAAGTAGGATTCCACAGGGTTGGGATGGACAGATTAAATATCTGGTTAATTTAGACCTTGCTGGGAAATCTGTTTTGCTTTACAACATTTGTTGGAAACCTTTCCAAGAGGCACTATTATCTTTCTAATTCTTACGGAAGTATAACTCCTTTGACAACAGACTCTGGAAATTCATCCAACTCATCATTGTAAACTGTCTCTGATTCATTCCTGTTCTAAATATTCACTCCTATTCCGATAGATTGTATTTCTTGAGAGCCGAGATGACATCTTTTACACTCCTCCCAGGGCCCAACCGTAGTAGGGACTCAGTAAATGTAGGTGGGATGAATCGTCTTGTAACTCAGTCCCTTACACAAGACTGGAGCTCAGGAGATGTTTATTTACGAAGACCAAGGCCTGCTTATCAGAGTTTGCATTTCTGGGCAATAGAGGCTGAGACAGAGGCAGGTGGGTGAGAGGTTTATTGGGAAGTGACATCTGTGACAGACGGGATGGAACAAGGCTCAGCACGAGGAGCCATCAGCCACGATGACGCAGAGGTGATGACATTTTCTGCCAAGCCCACGAGGGAGCTCCAGAGTAAAGCTCATTGGCGAGAGTCGCTTGCGGGGCAGAAATGGCCAGGCTAACCTTGGGCTCAGGCCTGGGCTCGGGGCCGCTGGGGAAGAGCATGCCTCGGGCTCCCATGCTGAGGTGGATCCCGAAGGAGCGGCCGCTGGAGACTGTCAGCTACCTAAACACCTGCCCCCCAGCGGGGCCCCGAGTCCTTTCTTGAAGGGAGGGAACTGGACAGTACATCTTTGAGACATGTTCGTGACATGTTTTGCAGAATGACCCCATTTTGGATGCTTTGTGGCTTATAGACGCTATTCTTTGTCTTGAACAATTATTATTCTGGGCTGGCAAAATTTACCAGAATCGCTACAGGTTATTTGAATACGGAGGGAAGCCTCGAATCTGCACATCCCCAAGCAGTTCTTTTTTAAGAAAATGATGTTGTAGCCTGTAAGAATTATTAATGATAATCATCATCATTCTTTGAGTGTTCATTTTTTGGTTCGCTACTTGCTCCTTCCCTAAAAAAAGTATTTCAAACTTAACCTTTTTCAAATCTCAGTTTCTTCATCACCAAAGTAATTATGATAAAAGCGTTATATTAGAGGATTGTTGTAAGATTAAACAAGAAAGCATATGGAAGGCACAAAGTATAGTCGTATCGGGAACATTCTGTATATGTTCATTAAAGAGACAAAGGAAGCAGGAAAAAAGTAAAGAGAAAGAGCTCAGTCTGCACTTGACCTTCTTAGGTAAGCAAATCAATATACTTGCTCCCCTTTCCACGGGGAAGTCACAATAAATGAAGAATCATTCTGAAGAACCCAAGCCACTTTCAGGCAGACTTGATTTCTTTATTGATTTGTATCCCCCCCCCCCCCCCCGGAAATCTCTTAGTAAAGCTGATGGTGTTTTTACATTTTATAAATGTGCTTCATAAATGCAATGTCATGCTTCATGGGTTGCGTGTGTGTGTGCAAATTTTGGTATAGAAAATAGTAACTTTTGTGTGTGGGAATTTCAGTACTGATGTCAATGCCTTAGTAGAGGAGATACAGAAAGCGGAGCCGGTAATCACAGCTTCACGATCAGACCAAGTAAAGCTTTTACTACGGAGATTACAAGACAAACTCAGGCAGCACAGCAACCACCAATTCTATCTTTTTAAGGTAATGCATGTTTTAAAATGACCAAATAGAAGAACTTCAAAGAATTGGTTGACATCCGATCAATCTGAGATAAAATGCAGATTATATTTTCTCTTTCCCTTAGTGTCTCATATATATTTGCCAAGACTAAGTCTCAGCAAATGTTTATTTACTGACTGAATGAAACTGAAACGTGTTTCTCAAGAGAAGTTAAAAAAAGATTGGTAGTAAGTTTAGCTATTCTTTATGATGTTCCATTTAAAGGATGACCATTAAGGTAGCTTCAAGTTATTGAATAATTGAAGTTTCTTTTCAGTTGGAGTAATATTAAGAAGTTCTGTTTCATGGAACATCAATACCTACTATTTTCTGCTTCCATGTGAACTAAACTATATTTCAGGAAATTATTTATTGATACGGCTTATATAATAATTTTAATGCAATGTAAATGTGCCTATTTTTCTCTATAGTTTTCTCGATGATTAAATTTAAAGTATAACAAATGTAGTCAATTACTCAGGAATAGCTTTTAGTTTTTCTTAATTATTTAACAATATTTAATAGTTTATCCTAATATTGCTTCATATCACACTGGTTTTCTTTTTATGATTTAAATGAATTTTGAAGAAATGCCATTGTTATCAGGACGCCTGTGTGGCTCAGTCGGGTGAGCATCCGATTTATGCTCAGGTCATGATCTCACAGTTCATGAGTTCGAGCCCCGCGTCGGGCTTTTTGCTGTCAGCTCAGGGCTTGGAGCCTGCTTTGGATTCTGTGTCTCCTGCTCTCTTTGCCCCTCCCTTGCTCGCTGTTTATCTGTCTCTATCTCTCAAAAAGAAATAAACACTAAAAGATTAAAAAGGAAATATTATTATCTATATATGTGGCATATTCTGTCTCATAAAAAAATTACATCTTTTGTAGTCATCCCTTTAATGTATTATTGAAAGATGAGGAAGTTATTCTTGTAATATTTATTTTTCCAGCAGGTGGCACTATGTAACTTCAAATATCAGCTCTATAACTAGAGTGACCTTGCAATTTATCTTCCAATGGGAACATTTTTGATAGTGAAAGCAGACACTGTTGATAATTATGCCCCCGCAGCAGACGTTAACTGGGACTGTCCCAGCCTAGCCAATCACTCCATCTGTATACAGACTATCCAATTTATGTATGTTCGTTTGATAAATATTAAGGTATCCACTCTGTGCTTGACAGTGTAGGAATTGAAAGATAAATGAAATAAGAGCCATTCTGACTCTAGAGGAGCGTTAGGATTCCAGAAGTATTAATTAATTGTAAAATCTGCATTTGAAACGTATTTAGTGTATTTCCTCTATATGCTTTTTATGCCTATGGACAAAATCATGTGCAATATTTAAAAGACAATATTATAAATTAATGCTATTTGGTATCTTATTTAATAGCAGTAATTTATCTTAAAAGCCATTTCATGGAAAACACAGATCCAATATTGTTTTTGTAATTATGTTAACTACCAAATGTTTTATTGGTCTTAATGGTAGGAGATACGTAGTTTTTTCTCTTCTGCTCAGATAGCGAATATTGTCCACTTATTATGTATAATTAAGATAAACTTGAATATCTTCCTTGGTTTGAAATTAAAATTAATGATTTAAACTTTTTTTTTTTAAGTTTAAAACAAATGCTGTTTTCTTTCATTGAAGGTTCTCAGAGCACATATACTGCCATTGACTAATGTTGCACTTAATAAATCGGGGTCTTGGTAAGTTTCTGTTATTTATTTAAAACTTAAAATTTTAAAAATTTTAAGTGAAAAAATTATTTATTTTCTTGCACCCAAAGTCGAAAAGTTGCTTTTATTTTATTTAATTTTTAATTTTATTTGAATCCAAGTTAGTTAACATATAGTGCAATAATGATTTTAGGAGTAGAGGTTAGTGATTTATTACTTACATATAACACCCAGTGCTCATCCCGACAAGCGTCCTCCTTAGTCCCCCTCACCCATTTAGTCCATCTCCCCCAGCACCCCTCCAGCAACCCTCAGTTTCTTCTCTGTATTTGAGAGTCTCTTATGGTTTGCCTCCTTCTGTTTTTATCTTGGTTTTCCTTCCCTTCCCCTATGTTCACCTGTTTTGTTTCTTACATTCCACATATGAGTGAGATCATACGCTATGTATCTTTCTCTTATCTTTCTCTGACTTTTTTCACTTAGCATAATACACTCTAGTTCCATCCACATTGTTGCAAATGGCAAGATTTCATTCTTGTCGATCTGTAATATTCCATTGTACATATAAACCACATCTTCTTTATCCATTCATCAGTCAGGGGACATTTGGGTGCTTTCCATAATTTGGCCATTGTTGATAGCGCTGCTCTAAACACTGGGGTGCATGTGCCCCTTCGAATCAACATTTTGGTATCCTTTGAATAAATACCTAGTAGTGCAATTGCTGGGTCATAGGGTAGTTCCTTTATTAATTTTTTGAGATGAAAAAAAGTATTAAAAGAATTATTAGACTTTATTATTTATAGTGGGTTTTAGGTTTACAGCAAAATTGAGCAGAGGGTACAGAGATTTGCCACATACGTCTGGCCCCCACACACCCTCAGCTTCTTTCACTGGCATCTTCCCCCAAGGATTGTGCATTTCCTACATTTGATGGGCCTACATTGACCAACACATCATTATCACTCAAACTTCATAGTTTACATTAGGGGTTGCTCTTGCTTTCTTTCATTCTATGGGTTGACAAATGTTTAATGACAGATCTCTACCATTAAGGCATCACACAGAGCAGTTTCTCTGCCCTAAGGATCTTCTGTGCTCCATCTATTTATTTCTTTTTTTTAAATTAAAAAAAATTTTTTTTTCAACGTTTATTTATTTTTGGGACAGAGAGAGACAGAGCATGAACAGGGGAGGGGCAGAGAGAGAGGGAGACACAGAATCTGAAACAGGCTCCAGGCTCCAGGCTCTGAGCCATCAGCCCAGAGCCCGACGCGGGGCTCGAACTCCTGGACCGCGAGATCGTGACCTGGCTGAAGTCAGACGCTTAACCGACTGCGCCACCGAGGCGCCCCTCTATTTATTTCTATATATCCCTTCCTTCCTTCCTTCCTTCCTTCCTTCCTTCCTTCCTTCCTTCCTTCCTTCCTTCCTTCCTTCTCCCTCCCTCCC